TCTAAAAATTTATTATGCCATTTGGTAGAGGGAAAAAAGTTGCCAAGAAAAAGTATTCTTCTTTTTTGAATATCACCTTGAACAAAACTGAAATGAAACAAAATCGGATTTCCAAACTTTCGTTTTTTTTTCAAATATTTCGAAAACTAATGTTAGCCTTGATTTTTTAGCGGCATAGTGTTAGTCCCTGTCGCCAGCCAATGGGCTAGGGGGGGGGGGCAAGACAAGATAGAGCATGGGAGAAATATAAATTATACCTAGGTAAAAATAGTACAGTGAATACATTTTTTTTAGAAAAGAAAAACATTAAAAAATATATATAAATAACTAAAAAAATTAAGAAATTCTACGAAAATTAGGTAAAACATAATCTCGGCTTTTTTGAAATTTGTCGACCACTTTATTAATAAAATCTTCATGGTTGTCAAAAATAAGCGATAGGCCAAATAAAAATATTAAGTCTAAGTTTGCAGATTATTTATAGATAATTTAAAAACAATTAAATACAAAAATTTGAGGATCGATTAATAACCTTCACAATTCATAAACTTATGGGTAACCCTACAAAATTAAAAACGTTTTTCATTCCCCCTATATAAAATTGGTGCGTTACATACAGGGTGTCTCACGGTGACGGCCCATTACAATTATTTCAGACTACTTCGATTTGAATTTTGAAAATTTGGGATACCGGGTTTTCGGTCATGCCCTTCTCAACTAAAATAATGTCGTCCACGTACCACTTCCGGTTACACCGGAAGTCGCCATCAACTTGCTTATTTTAAATGGAACACCCTATATATTATTGCTAAAAATTCCACAGCTATCCTCGCAGGAAATTACATGATTTTAGGTAATTACACAAAAAATAGTAGATAACTGAAAAACTAGAAGAGATAGGTATAGGGAACCCTGATACCGTTCGAAAGAGAATAAAATTATATACCTATCAGAATATACAGGGAGGGGCACAAATGATACTAGAGATTCCTTTGGTGAAAATAAGTCGATTTAACCTAACACACCTATATCCCAAGTCGCATAATAAAAAAGATACAGGGTGTCAAAGTGAAAAATAAAAAATGGTTTTTCCTTAATAATTTCTATAATTTTGGTCAGACATGTTTCATATTTTCAACAGAGAAGTATTTTAATGATGGGAAAAATAATATAATAATGATTTTTGAGTGTCGAGTACGAGGCGCCCTCTGCAGGCAACGTTATGCGTTGAATATGTAGTAACTTTTTTGCCAACCCCCGTATACAGATTTTAATAACAAAATATGAAATATTGGACTTCTTTGAACAAAAACGGTATACTTATTGAAAATGGCTAAAGCCAACCGTTAAGGAGATTATACCTCCACGAATACTAAGGTTCGAGTTGCTTAAATAAATATAAAAAATCGAGTAGATAAATGTCATTTGATAATACTCGTAAATTGCAATTTTGAAGTATTAGTTTAAAGTGTTAATTGATTTTAGTCACTGTTTACCTGCGTCCTAGATATTACATAGCTTTGGAATTGAATAAAATAACAAATTATGTATACTAGTGACGAGTATGTCGATATGTTTCAAGTATTTTTTGAATGTTACAAAACTGTACTGCTGCTGTACGACTTTATCATGCCAAATATCCCAATCTTCGTGTTCCTGCTAGAAAAACTTTTGTGGCGGTAGAAAGAAGACTTCGAGGAAACGGATACATTCAACCTCGTCCTGAAGGTACAGGCAGAAGACGTCTTATTCGCGATGTAGAACTTGAAGAAGTTGTCTTTGGCAATTTACAAGATCAGAATTGTGAAACTAGAACGAGAAAATTGGCGACACATTATAACGTTCCACATACTACGATTTGGAAAATTACGAATGATAATCTTTTATACCCCTACCATCTAACACCTGTGCAGGAATTGACTGCTGCGGACTTACCTAACAGGACAGACTTTTGTCAATGGTATATGAACATTTCAAGGGAAAACAGAAATATTTTATCCAGTATTTTGTTTGTTGATGAAGCGTCATTTCATAGACATGGTTTAGTGAATCATCACAATAATCACTCATGGTCTGACGAACATTCTCAAGTGTATACATCCAAATTTCAACATAATTTTAGTTTAAATGTATGGGCAGGAATCGTAGGAGATTATCTTATTGGTCCGTTTACTCTTCCTCGGCGTCTCGGCGGAGCCGAATATTTGCGATTTTTAAATGAGCCACTCCCAATATTGCTTGAAGACGTCCCATTAGCTATCCGTGAAAATAGGTGATACCCACATGACGGAGCTCCTGCTCATAGTACATTAGCTGTTAGACAATGGTTAAATTTAAATTTTCCTGGGAGATGGATAGGTTGAGGGAACGATGCACCAGTCAAATGGCCAGCGAGATCACCGGATCTCACACCCATGGACTATTTTTTATAGGGTCACATAAAAAATGTTGTTGATAGTGTGGAGATGTTTCGTCAAAGAATTTTTGCAGCAGCTGAGGAAGTAAAGAATGATTGACTGTTGTTAAGTGACTCTTGGTTTTAGTTGTTTTGTTCTTTTTTCTAATAATAATTATTAAACTAACAATAAATAAGTATTTCGCAATATTTTTTCACCTGAACTGTTATTTCATATGAGATTTCTTTAATGCAGAAAAAGACACCGAAAAACAATTAAATAGAAATTATGTAACAAGTGTATTCACACATGCTAAAATAATGTTATCTCAGTTGATTCCTGCGCCCCCTTTTGGTCGAATTTTAAAATACAGACACACCACTAATAAGTACTATGGGGCAATGCGTTCGGAACTTATTAACAAAGGTGTCTGTTTGTACCTTGGTATTCGTGGAGGTATAAATCCGTAACACTAATTTATGAAATTAAAAATATCTCCTCAACGGTTGGCTATAGCCATTTTCATTAAGTATACCTTTTTTGTTTAAAAAGGTCCAATATTTCATATTTTACTACGAAAAACTGTATACGGGGGTTGGCAAAAAAGTTGCTACATATTCAATACATAACGTTGCCTGCAGAGGGCGCCACGTACTCGACACTCAAAAATCATTATTATATTATTTTTTCCGTCATTAAAAAACCTCTCTCCTGAAAATTTGAAACACTTCTGACTAAAATTATAGAAATTATTAAGGAAAAACCATTTTTTATTTTTCGCATTGACACCTTGTATCTTTTTTATTAACCGACTTGGGATATAGGTATGTTAGGTTAAATCAACTTATTTTCATCCAAGGAATCTCTGGTATCATTTGTGCTCCTCCATTTAAATACACCCTGTAGAAAAACATTCAGTGTTCCATTTAAAAAATCGACTTATGAAGGTTTGAAGTTAACTAAACTCAGCATTAAATTTCTAGCACCCTGTATGCAATTAAGTCACTTTGAAAGTATGGATGGGAAGCTTAGGGGTCTAGCTATCCCCCTATAAATATTGTTGCTTTATCTGTCTTACTTTAAAATACATGGTGTGAAGCTAGTCACTGTTTCCCTCCATTTTTTTTTTAATTAAATATCTAAAACGGTTCATTTTAGGAATAGAGAAACTTCATAAAAGTCCACCTAAAATAACACGTAGAATCCAAAATTGCAATAATATATAGGGTGTTCCATTTAAAATAAGCAAGTTGATGGCGACTTCCGGTATAATCGGAAGTGGTACGTGGACGCCATTAATTTAGTTGAGAAGGGCATGCCTGAAAACCCGGTATCCCAAATTTTCAACATTCAAATCGAAGTAGTCTCTAAAATAATTCTAATGGGCCGTCACCGTGAGACACTGTATATATATATAGCTTTAGTTACTCTGTTAAACTTTTATTTTGATTCCGATAAAAAAAATTATTTAAAAAAAATAAAGTAGTGTATTAATTTTCAAAATTAAAGTTTAAAAGTAAATAAAATAATATTTTCTTGGCTTAAGAAAATTTTTGTATTTTTTTCTAGTTCGTATCTCTTACCGTTTCTGAGATCCCTGTCGTGAGAAACGAATTTGTAACAGCCTGTTGTATCGCCAGTAAGCTATTTAAAATAATATTCTATTCAACCCTAATACCACTTGTTAGATTTTATATTAATAAGTACTTTGATGGCACTTAAAGGCCCCATATTCTTTAAATAGTGTTTTCCGCAAAGACAAATAATTTCAAACATTTTAATAACTGAATAATCTAAAGCTTATCAAATAATAGGAATGTTATGTCATGCCACCTGAGTATTTCCAAAGACGCCGCAGTAAAACGAATAAACGGGTGCAAAAAACGATCAAACCATCAAGGTTTTAGGTACTGAAATCTACGAAAATACTAACTTTTTTAAACATAACTCCACATGTAAATATTCTTATAACATTTACTTGCTTAGTCCTACATATAAAATTGTTTACTTTTATTTATAAGTACGTGAAAATAATTCTTAAAATGTGGGGTTAGGATAACAGAAAACGCATGTTTTTTTTTTTTTAGTTATTATTTTATTTGGGTAAATTTAAATGGTAACAATAAATAAACAAAACATCAAGGATTTTTTTTTGTGCTTTTATTCTACACGTTTTACTTTTCAAGATTTCAGTACCTAAAAATGCCCGAAATTTCACCATTTCTCGGCCAGGGATATGGCCACTCTACATACTTGTATGTTTCATTAGTTGAAAAAATAATATTAAAATTTTTATCTCAGAGCGAATAAAAAATGTGATAATATATCAATAATAAGAAATAAATACCACGATTTTTTATTGAATTATTTGTGGTCAATAATAAATATGCGTCGATAATAATTTCAGTGTCATGGAAGTCACCTTGTATAGATATTTATAACTTTACATTACTGTTATGTCTGGCTTGGGGGATCTACGAGTATTGTTCGGTGGTTTACAGAATTTATTCCAACAGTGTGAGACTGCGCCGATTATTTACTTTCATCACTTAGGACTTCGCCTGAGTTTGCATATATACATAAGTTGAATGCAGTGAGCATTACTTCACAATCTAAATTTTGTTGTAATAAAAAAAATCGGAATATGTTTCATTTACTTTTTGATTTTCATCATATATTGCTTTTATTGTTGTTATTAATATTTTATAGAAGCTTGAGAATTATAAATCTAAAACATTTTTTCTCTAATTTTAAAGTGAAAGAAATATTTTATGGAAAAGTGATAAATGCTAATACTTATCGGGAAAACAATATTACACCTAAAAGTGTTAATTATCATTTTACAAGAAAGTGTAATTATGAGTGTGGTTTTTGTTTCCATACTGCAAAAACATCCTATATATTAGATCTATCTGATGCCAAAAAGGGCTTAGCGATGCTGAAAAACGCAGGTAATAAAATATTTTTATTTAGTATGTAAACAGTATAATAAATATATGGTGTAAAACAGTGGCGTACGCAGGAAGTTTTGAGGATCAGTAGGTACCCTCCTATGAGAAGTAATTCCCATTTTTCCTTGAGCAACATTTATGATCTTTAGACAAACAGAATGCCTTGATAAGTACCCGAAAACTATAATTATTTAATAATAAATAATTTAGGAAATGATTTTACGCAATAGTATAAATTCCTAAGATAAAGTTTCGCAAACTCAATATTAATGCAGCTATACCGGTTGAATTTTTTAACCTGAGACTTTCAAATATCTCAAGAAATAAGCACTCTACGAAAAAAATGTCCATAGTCAAAATTTAATCATTCCATGGAGGGAATATATTACTGCTAAAATTAGTTCCCCTCCCCCCTCCTTATAGGTAAGACTTTAAAATCTTAAATAGAAATCCCTACTTTTTACTGCAGATATTCGGATTCTACGATTAAAAGTACGTAGGAAAATAGTTTACTGTGCTTTCATTTAACGTTTGTGTTATTTCTTTCTTCGTGTTTTTTATACCTACAAAAACACAAATTAAACGTATAAAGAAGTAACTTTAAGATAAAACTCATGTCCATGTCGTTGTTCCTGGATTGCGCTAAAAGTAGTTTATTCAGCAGGTATTTACATTTCCCAGTTATTTGAAATTTTCAAAATGAATAAACTTTTTTGACAAAAAAATTCGAGTATTTACATAAAACGTGGTATTTTTTGTTGTAAACACATTGCAGAGTCGTATGCATACGTTCACAATGGGATAAATCGAAAAAAAAATGAGTCGTCGATTACAGCGTCATCTATTATGAATCGAAAAAAATGTTTCAAACAGATCCTAATCCTTACGTACTTTTAGCCGTAGAATCCGAATTTCTAATAAAAAATAGGGGTTCCTATTTAAGATTTCAAAGTGACCCCCCTTCCACCTACGAGGAAGGCAGGGGGATTATTTCCACAAAAAAATTAAATTTTGGTTGTGAACATTTTTTTCGTAGAGTGCTTATTTTTCGAGATATTTGAAAGTTTCATGTTACAAAAATCACCCGTTGTAACTTCAAAGGTGTTTTTTTTTTTTTAATTAATAATAAGTCATTCCATCAAACATTTTTTTTTCACATTTGGTTCTCTTATTGATAATCTACAAAAAAAAAATAAAAATTCTGAAGCATCAAAAACTGATATAGTATGGTCACAGTCTAGATTATATAACTGTGGTATAGGTTTTCTTTTATCACAAACGGTTAATCTTAAAAACTTAGAACAGGAAGATGTTTTTAAAATGATTTAGCCTCTCCGTTAGAATTGTTACTATCCATTTTCTAGTCAATAAGAGAAATTTAAGACATTTAGGTTTTCATAATTTTGGAATTTTTGCGTATGTATGGTTTGTTACCAATAATAAATGTAATAAATTCAAAAAAAATATTAAATTAAAAAAATACTTTCAGGTTATTTAATAATATTAAGTTTCTGAAACTGTCAAATTAATACTGTAATTTTTGTTGTCATGAAATCCCAAAATTTTTGCCTACAGTTTCACACCTTACACCTTTAGAAAAGTTTAATTTGTCTGTTCGTATCCTACTGACGTTGAATCTTAACCTATCCATTGTGAAACATAATCAATAATATTTCTTTAATTTTTATATTTGATAGGCAATTATTGTCAACTGAATTCAATGACTTTTGTTAATTTTAATAACACAGTCACAAAAAAAAAATGTTTTCGAGTCTGAAGGTTAGATTATGTCTACTATATGTTTTCGGGGTCGCTGAATCCGAATACGTCAAGTCCTATTACACACAACGGTCCTGTTAAAGGAGCTGTGCACCCACAATAACCCCATAATCCTAAAACCTCCTAACTCCATAACTGCATAAACCCATAACCCTATAACCACGTTACTCACAATCAGTAACTTGACTTGATCTCTCATCGCGAGATATATCAAGGCTCTATAAACAGAATATACTTAACCCTATAATCCCTCAACCCCATTACCCTATAACCCCATGACCCCATAACTCCAATAACGACATTACGCAGTAGTTCGATTGCTTGATGCAAGGAACATAGTCTATATCGTTATTGGCTCCCAGTTTCATCATCTCCAGTAGATTTTCCGTCAATTTCAAAAATATCCCAAATTAAGCTTTATTTCTCATATACTAATCCAAGTCCCTGAAGTCCCTGGATCATGTTTTCATGCCGTCATGGCAGGCACAAGTGGAAGACGTACAAGACAGGGTTTCGGATGCCCAGAATCAGCGGCTGGTCAGGGTGCAAAAGCGGGCCCCTTGAAATGCCCCTTGAAATAAAGCTTCAATTGACATTATATTTGTTAAATTGATGGAGAATCTAATGTAGATGATGAAACTAGAGCCAATAACGATATAAACTATGTTCCATGCATCAAACAATCGAACTACTGTGTAATGTAAATATGGGAGCTATAGTGTTAAATAGATTACGGATTCGGATTCACCGACCCCGAAAACATGTAATAGACATAGTCTAACCTTGAAACTCGAAAAACATTTTTTGTGTGGCTGTGTAATTTTATAGAATACGTAAGGACAATATGCCACTTTATAAAACCTTTAAAAGTGGTTTACTTTTAGTATTATAAATGTATTTGAACGCCTTTTTCTATTTTTTTTGTAGTATCTTTTTACAATCGGATATTAGTAGTAAAATTTTTACTGACGATTAAAAAATTCGAAAGTAAATATTAATAAATTGAAATAATAATATCTGGTTCAGATTCTATTCTATCCTTCCTTATAAAGGTTACGCAGCAGTTTTAGGTGCTGCTTTCTTCAGAATATTTCATCTTGCTATAAAAAATAAAACTTTTCAGTGTTCTGATATGGAAAAATGTGATAATGCTGGAGGACTTCACATTGAACGATAGGTACTTAACCGTATTGTGATAAGTAAGCAGTATTTTTCTAGAATTGCAGTTATTATAAAATGTTCCTTTTTTAAAATACAATTTCCATATTTTTGGCACATCCTATATGATTATATTCAGGTAATCAAGTTGTTAAAAAATAAACTAAAAAAAAATTTAAAAATCGCATGTCCAAATAATTTTTAAATTTCGCGCATTTTGCCTCGTATTCGGAAAAAAAAAATGAATTTTATAAAGTTCATCCGAATTTGTCGATATTCGATATTTGAGATCTCCTTAATATTAGAAACAACTTTTATTAATAATATTTTGTATTAGTCCTTAAAATAAGGTAGCTTTACTATTGAGGCAATTTTGGTTTTTCCAATTTCGTGAACGCCCCGTATAAATTTTTAGTTTTGTGAATCTGGTTTTCGAAATTTCAGGACAAGCAAACATTTTTTAAAAATGACATTTTGTCGAAAAATGAAAAATAATTTTTTTACAGAATTCTCGAATTTCTTCCCATAAAAGTAGTATTAGATTAACACTATAAATAGATGCTTGTGCACTTTCACAACATGTTAATTCTACAGGACATAAAATGGATTTTGAAAATTTTAAAATTTTAGCAACACAAAAGAATTACTCAAAAGATGTTCTTTAGAAATGTTTTATATTAACCAGGAAGAAAATACTCTAAATAAAAAAACAGATACAAAAGACATTAACATTATGTTTTCCAACATACTTTCTATAGAAAAAATCTAAATAATAGTACGAGTAATACTAACACTAATATTAATTCTATACAGGGTGTCCCTTAAGCACATGATCAAAAAGGTATTGCGATATTCTTTGGCTCAGAAGAAGACGATATGACCTAACTTCCATTAAGAAATAATGTCTGGCTCATCTGCTATAGATTGTCAAAGTTCTTGAAAAAAAAAAAGTTTTTTGTAATATCTGGAGAATGTTACGATGGATTTTAATTAAACTTGCTGTGGATTTGTTCCTAACTAAAACTCATGTTTTGATGAAGCAACCGCGTCCATCTGCCTTGGGCTATGGTACATTCTTGAGTGTCTTGGTACAAGAATTACCAGAACTTTTTATTTGGTCGCCGGAATTAATTCATTTTATTTTTATTGATGATGCATTCAATATTTTCGTGCTCTTGGTAAAATCTTGTAGCATTCATAGTTTTTACGCAAAAAATTGTTTTCTGTTTTGTTGCGATTTAACAATTTTAAATGTATCGCAGTAAATCTGCCTTTTTACAAGAAGCAGTTTTCTCTAATAATAATTGCCAATTCTTTTACCTAGGATATCAATATTGAAAGTAAAATGGTCGCAACTTTAAAGTCTGTCGCAATGCGACGGATTGAATATCACTTTACTTCATTAGATTCATTTTTTGTTAACACTCAAAAAATGTAAAGACGTACTTAGGAAAGACATAATTCTCTTCATTGAAACTGGATGATAGTTACATAGATACGATAGATGATGGTGGAATTACAAGACATGTTCGATATGCCCCCCCCCCATTTTCCGGGATGCATAGCTGGATCCTTCGATTGAAATTGAATTGAGCGATCCTCAACATTTTTGGATCTTTCCGTATTACGTCCGCCTCGTTTTGAATCCTACGCAATAATTCTTCCTGGGTGCCACAGGAGTAGCGTAAACTTTATTCTTCAACGCTCCCCATAGAAAAAAATCTGACAACGTTGGGGGACCTAGGGGGCCATTCGACAGGAACATCTCTCCCTCTTCTTCCGATCCACTTGTGTGGAAAAGTATTATTTAAATGTGTAGTTACATTTGCACTAAACTGCGGAGGAGCACCATCGTGCTATTCGTCAGAAAATTGAAATAATTTTCCCAATTCAAGCGGCGCGGCATGACATAAGGACTTAGAAGGATGTCACCCATGATCCCGGCCCAAACATTTATTGGAAATTCCACCTGAAAGTGATTAATACGCCTCGCATGAGGGATTTCTTCTGCGTAATGGTGAATAAAATTCGGCTGGTAAAGTTTGGATCGCGTGCCGACGCTC